CTGACATTCAAATCCCAAATCGAGGAAGACAATCTTGGTGAAAATACGTTGCTACCATTTACATCTCTGATAGTCTTATAATAATTTTGTGTACCTGAAACTTGTTTGCATTTCTAGATGATGTTTAACATGGAAAACCGATAACTTTTTTCTTATTTATTCAACTTTTGTTAACCTAACATGATTGTTTTTTAACAATTTTGTTGAAACGAATGCTCAAATCGTAACGTAGACCATTGCTGTAATTTTCACTTTATTTTCATTAATATTTTTTGTAATTCAATAGAATCATGGAGCACACTCCTACCCTCCGTCCTCTTCAATTACATTTTGAAACAGACGAACTTATGACTGTATTTTTACACATTTTTAAGATAGTTGATAAAGTTAATAGATTGTCCTAAAGAAATATTTCTTGTAAGAGTTTACATTGTAATAACAGTCATAAATGATAACTTGTATAAGGCAAAGTCAAACTTGATTACACAGATTCAATTTGACATGAAACAGAAAAACGATTAAAGATTCTTTCAATTTCACTTATGCTATACCTTCAAGTGTTTTGTAATAAACATAACTGAGTTCCCAATATAACCTTGATTTTTATATTTGAATGATCGCCTCAAATATCGTTGAATGTATTCTGCGTAGAAATACCAGTTAAATATATATGTTAGTGATAGTAGCAGTCATATCGAGTAAAGCCGTTATCGTGAACTGTTTGGAATGTAGTAGTTATAAAGTATTAGGATACGTATAAGTGCAGGAAAATATATATATTTAACCAGAAGGTAACGAACACATTTTATTTGTATCCAGGCATGACAAATACTCTTTTTATTAAATTATTTATTATGATTAATACTCGCAAACAGATGATAAAGTATAAATGAGAGAAGGTTTATTTTTCCTCATACTTCACTAAAACACAGTAAACCATGATAATTGCAAATATAACCGCATGATTAATTGAAAGATTCTATTTATAATTTGAACTTGGAATTAAAAGTTAGAGTATGTAGGTTTCTTATTATGTCAAAATGACTTCTACATTTCAGTGATTTCACTTTTTACGTTTTATTATTTTTGTAATGCATTGTGTACGTTTAAATATAATATTGTAAGTGTATGTATATTTTACATACTGTCATTTATTCGTTAAGATGGTCACAGATGCCTTTAACTGTATACCAGTATTAAATTGCCTTTTTAACGTAATGTAATTTTGATTTATTTCGAACTTCTATCTTCGTATTCACATACTATTGGATACTAACTTATAGATTTGTCCGGCATTATCACCGTATTTGCATTCTTCGAACTGTAAAAATGTTGCAGATATATACCTTTGGTAAACTTATAGTTTTGTTTTAGAACACAAAACAATATCGCATTTATGTTTAATACCAAATTGAATGCTTATACAATTCATGCAATTTTTTGCCATAACCTGCATTCTAAAAGGGGAATTTAATTAATATGCAAATGGTAAGGTAAAATCAGAAGTAACAGTCACGGAAAGGTGTTTGAATATTTATTCAAATGTCATTCCTTATACGATTGGAAATGATTGATGAAGTCGCAGATGACATATTATATATGAATTTCAAATCAAATTTTGAAATAAACATTTCAATTAAAAATTGTTTTAAATATATCAGTTGTATTGTCTGAACTTTGAACTATTATAATAGTTTGTGTATCGAAATGTCGGCATTGCTTTTATGTGACATGATTACAGGCAGACTTATTTTTTTATGTAAGACTGTTCTTTTTGTAACTTTTCTATAGAATTCATTATTGGTATATCTAAGAAATAGCAATGTTAAACGACCTATTTATAACATTCAGTCGTTTGAATAAAAGAATGTCAGGAATAATTAACAAGAACAAAATATTGATATGATTCCAATATTCATGATCTGTCGTCAACAAGAAAATAAGTATGATTTATTAATATCTTCAAACCGATTTCCAACTTCAAATATATTCACTCCTTGAGTAACCTAGAGTAATCGGGTAACTAAACATAGGGTTTCCAATACAGGTATTTCAATTTCTATAGAATATAAATGAAAGATCTTTATCAATACTGCTTGCTTCAAATAGATAAGAAAGTGTGTGTCGAAATGTCAACATTTCTTTCACTGATAATCATTTATTTACTTACAATATAATAAATTTAGGGTCTGCAAATGAATGCGTATTCTGGTCAAAATATTAAGAAAAGGTTAAGAAACTAATCAGCTATTACGTAATAAAATTTGAAGAAATAAAAGTTTAGCTTCCTGATACAATACAGTATAATCACTGCACTTACCCCCAAGTTAAAGTATGAATGTTAACATTGTTTAAGTATGATTTAAATGTATACTGTATGTTATTCCTTATCATTATGTCAATACGACAGTGCTCCATGTTAAAATAAAAACTGTTCCGCAAGGGAATTTATATTAGGCAACGATCATTACACTTAACCGTTACGACTTGATAATTTTCATTGCAAACATTTAAGCTCGGCATGTATACCCTTTAAACGTATATAATGTTTAAAAAGAATATAGCTTAGGAATCTTATGATAATTTGAAACATTAATATTTTCAAAACCAGCATGTTTTGTATATTTCGATCTTTGTATATGATAGATGAATTATATGCTGTTTCCTTATTTCGTTTTATAGAATATTTTAACTCATCACAGTTTCTTATATATTTAATATATCTAAAATTATTTGTTTCAAAGGATTCAATAATTTTGTTTTTTTCAATGATGTGTCATTTTTGATAGGAATAAGATTTTCCTCCGTTTAAAACAATAATTCTTGATATATATGTACATAATGCAGATGACAAAGTGATATCAAATGTTATCTAACCTAATGCAATTTTAAAATTAAACTAAATTTGGGTTAGCTCTTTTTGACATTTTAATACTCTCCTCGTAGGGTTCGAATATTTTTCCAATCTCTGTTTTTCAAGGGGAAATTGTCTAACTTCAGCCAATAGTAAGCTTACAACGAATAGTCACAACAATGTATTTGACGCATCAAAATGTAAACAATGCATGTATATCGAAAGTATCTCTTGTACTTTATTTTAAATTGTATTTTTTAAATGTTTCTATTAAATGACCCAATAGATATTACAAAAATGGTAAACTTTGAAGTAGTGTGAGTGTATTCATTGAGCTGCGAGGGGGCGGAACAGTTATGTAGATTGCTTTCCTTGAAATTCTTTCCTAAGCTAAAATAAACATTTCTAAGATACTTTATCACCAACTATACAACACCAATTTTAATTATTTTCATATGTACCAGTAATGAATGTTCAATTAATACTTGAAAATGTTTTAAATATTTGTATTATATCTTGCAAACACATTTTTTAACCATAGGAGTTACATATACACCGTTTGTTTGCGTTATATCCGTTTGGTATTTAAGTGTATTATTGCAATAATCGTTTACTCACGGTCCCTCTCATTTACATGCCCAACAAATATTGACGTTCATTTTAAAAAGATTTTATTCAGATAGCAGAATAGTTTCAAGATCGGTTTACAGAATAGTTTCAAGATCGGTTTACATTGAGGATAACGAAGGTTTAAGATAAACTGTATTTGTTCTTTTTTTAAGCAAGCAACCGTAAGTCTATTTCGCATTTTAAGAAAACTCTTTAAGTCTTAATTTTGTCTGTTTATAATGTGATCTTGTTAAATGTTTCTGTCTATGTTATGAATTTCGAAATGACATTGTATTTGAATTATAAAAGTTGAACTGCTTTTCTAGGAAGTGTGTAGTAGCATGCATCAACATCAATTCTGCCATACATGAACAGGATCTGAACGAATTTCATTTTATCTGCGTTGTCAGTTGATACAAAAACTTATCAGTTAGCGCATGTCACATTTTATCACACTCAATCATTGATCAAAATATTCCTAGAAATTTTATCTTAAACATCTGACAAAATTCAATTTTTGGAAACATTCAATATAACTCGTAATCGTTTTTAGTCTCTCAAATAATGATAACAATAGTTGTGGTCGTAAAGTATCTTATTTTGAAGGTTTTGGAAAGATCGAACATTGAACTTATATTAGAAAAAAACACTCCTATTGACGATATATAGTCTGATGTGCTGTGATATTAATTAAGTAATAATAGTTAAGAATTAATACACCAAAATGTGTGCAGTTGTTTTCATTTGCTCTCTGCTAAGGTTAATATTATTAATTTTGATATGTCACAACTTTTGCTGCAAATAAAAAAATAAAAAAAGATATTTCAATATGGTTCGGAAGTGCTGGGCTCAATCAAACTAAGCATCATTTTCAAATCTGCTGTTTTGGACCTTTTTAAGCCGTTTTTCTCTAGTATATTGTCACATTGTTGTTACATGTGCCGTGTGGAGGTTGTAAAAAGTCGCACCGTACAATCGATCTGAGATGTTATATTTCCGAGTTTGCGGTATATTTCTTTTCATTTTGCACTTTCCTAGTTGGATGGTTCCAGTATTCCTACTTGAATATTGTATAATCACCCATGGGAAATGTTGCCTGCTTTTTAAATTAAAATGTAAATAATGTGGTGTTTTAACTTCCATGCATCACTATATGTGTAATACTTACCAAAATGAAAATAATAATAATAATTTTGGCTCAGGGATATGGCGAATTGGTCATTTTTCTGAAACTGTAACAATACGCCATAAATAAAAGAAAAATGGGGAGGGGTGACATCAATGCAGGAGCACTAATTTACGAATGATTCAAGCTAGTATTGATGAATTTTATCTATCTAAAACATATATTCATAAGTTTGTAACGAATAAATGAATGTAACTCTCTGTTAATGCGAACATTTCCATAACCTTTTTCAAATACTTTGTTTACAAAATTGGTACACAAGGTATCTGCAATAGTAGTTATTTTACATTCACGAAAAAGACTGAAAGCTATATGAAATTTGATATTGCATCATACATGTATATGTACATCACTGTCGGGTACGTGAAACGGTGCGGATTTTCCGTGTTACGGTGCTTCCATCCAAGATGTCGGACCGAGAAACAACAAGAAGGTACGTGTCATTTTGTAACCGATGTATTTGGAGATATACGTTACTTACTGGATAAAAGAAAAGTTGCATATAATGTAAAAATAAATTCCTTATAAGACCAACCTGTTCACCATGTATGTTATATAGGATTTATATGAATTATTTACTGAAAACTTTGGCGAAAAACACACACGTGAAATTCGAACCGAGAGGCCTGGTAAATTTTTTAGCAAACTTCCATATCAGAGGCATCAATCTTAAAGGAAACATGCTTGATTATTAGCGTACATGTATAAAATCATTTCTGGAAATTAAAAATTAATTAAATCAGTTTGTTGTGCCTGAATCTGTCTACTTTCTGTTTCGCCTGCACACCGGTGCAGACACCTAGCAACGGTTCGGAATTTCCGTAAAAAATGAAACGGTGCTGCCACAAATTAGGCAACGGTGCATACATCTTTTTCAAAAAGTATACGGTTCAGACACACGTTTAGTCTATAGCTGTAATATGACATTTAAGAAAAGAATATATATAAAATGTAAATGTGTCTAATAAAAACTGTTGTAGTAACAGTTCTTAAACATAAAATAACATTCTCTAAATATGAAACAAATATGTGATGATGAATGACTGCTTTAATTACAAGCGTGGGTTGATCATGAATTGTATATTGTCTACATATGCACTGCTATTGATACAGCTTTATTTATTGTCCAGTTCTAGGAAGTAATAACTTTTCATTCAGCTGATAATTTTTTATTCTTTTACGGGCTACTATTATTACAGCTTTACCAAGTGTCATGAAATATATTTTTCTATACGAAAACTATCCTCTACATCATTTAATATTTTCACTAACTGAAGCATACATTAATAAAAATATTTTGTGATAGATCTAAGGTAAATAAACATTGTTTTTATTTTTTCGGGAAATTTTATCACTGAATATGTATGTAACTCAGCTTTCTTGTTCCTATTTGTTGAAATGGAAAGATTTCGAAAGGCAGGAAGCTACATAGCTTCTTATCGGAGAACAAAAAGTAAAAAAGTTAACATACGACTATAACTTTTGGTCATTTTATTATTTTCTCGTCGAGACGAGTATCAGAATATGTAAACCCTATTACAAGTATAATAATTTTTTTTCTGTTTTAGTTTCACTGTCGGAGAAGAAAACCTGTGTTACTATTGTAAGTTCTTCAGTATGGATCTTCAAGAGTGTATCAATCACTTAGTTGTTCAGCATGGTCATCTGCAACATAAATTAAGAACGAGAGCATTCAACGCGTCAACGGGTCATATTGGTCTTTTATCAAAAGATTTTGGAGTTATACCAAATTTAGAGCTGGAAACTGGACAATACTTCAAAGTAGATGCAACGACATTTTCACTGGCAGTCAAATGCAATAATGAAAATATTGATATTTTACAAGAATCTTTTCACAATCTTTCACTTGATATTGAAGTAGAGCAAATTGCTAGTCCATTTACGATAAAGCATAAAACTTCAAAACCCTTAAAATCACTTCATACTGTTCCTTACGTTGACTCGTCTCGACAAGAAGAAACTTCATCATATGAGAAAGTTATTAAAAATTTTGAAGAAATGAAAACTCTTCTACCAAGTGTCATAGAGGAAATGAAAAAGAGCGGACATTTAAAACCGTGGATGGACTTTCATAGAATGGTTAGTAATGGAAATTTTCCATTTGATAATATAGCATTCCAACTCTTTATGGATGTTTGCCGTTTTTATGCTTAATTGCGACAATACGTCCGAAATGACTTATAGTGATGCAGTTAAACGGTTTTGGCGTATTGGATTCAGACTTTTTCATGGAAAGTGGTTGAAATTTATGAGTGGACCAAAACACTTAGGAAAACTGGTTACTAAAGAATGTGAGAGGGGATATTTTACACCCCTCACATTTCAGGGATCACATGTTTAGTGGAAGGAGCAGAGGAAAGAGAAAACGTAAATTAGGAAATATTTCTAAGCCGGAAGAACCAGTAAGACGACCAACAACTGTGAGAGAATTCCATAGGGCTCACGAATCTAAAGTTTTGCCGCACGTACGACAGGGATTAAATCTTGAATCCTGTAAAGATAAGAGATTTAATAATTAAACATTTGCAAGAAGAACGCTAAAACAATAATATTGTCTTCCGGTATTTGTTATTTAAATTTTACTGTGTATTTGTTTTGCACTCTGTGTCATAATAATAATTCTGAAAAAACATATATATTTGCCTTGGAACTGATAAAATACTGTTCAACATGCGTTATAGTGCAACGAGGTATTAAAGCCATTTTTAAATACCTGTTTGTTTCACCTTATCATGACTATATAGTGTAGAATAATCTGCTACAGGAGTTAACTAGGACCAATGTTGTCATTTTCAGGTACTTCGCAGCATATGAGTGACTTGACAGTAACAGAAACAATTCCTTTCTACGTGTTGAAACTATTATTTAATGAATATTTCTTGTTAAATATTTCAGATAAATTATGTCTTCATGGCATGCATATACACCATGATCAAAATGATAAATGAATAAATGATAAGTGAAAACAATTGTTTTATTAATTTTAATATTATACAATCATTTGAGATCATTTGTAAAAATAAAAAGGAAATCACTATAAATCAGCAGCAAATCACAGCATGAATCACAGAACATGTAAATGATAGTAAAACAATAATATCAAAGCAACAGTATCAATAGTTATAAAAAATGAGTATAAGTACATGTATATCAGAACTTCCTTACACACTGCTTGGACCTTACTAATATCGGAATGTATGCACAAACATCTTTCCTTAATTTTAACACTTACCAAATATATAAACGAGTCCTTACTATATGTGTAATGTATAAAATAGTCGCAGGTTAATTAAGAAACAGTGGTGTGTGAAACCGACTAGAACAAAACGTACCGTTTTTTGACCACTTAATTTGATCACGTTAAAACAGTTTACATTGAATTTAGTTCTGTCAAATATTTATTGGAGAAAAAGCTCGTTAAAATAGCGGGTTTTTCAAATTAAAAAAAAGATTTATTCTTTTTTTTAAAACTAGACTAACTGAAAGTACTTTTTCTAAAAGTGAGGATGTTTAAGTAAAAAATTAATTTATAAAAAACTTTCAAACAAAAACCTTTAAGGGGGAAATAAGTGAGTTCAGGGGTTTACGGAAAAAAATTTCCCCCAAAATTTCTTAGTTGAAAAGGGGGCAAAATTTTTGGGGTAAAACCCTTTGAAAAATTAATCGCTTGATTTGGAATTTTGAAAAAAAATTGGCCCATTTTAAAGTATTTTTAATTTCCCCGGGGTTTAAAGGAAAATAAGAAAGGGAATGGTACAAAAAAGGGGGTAATTTTGTCAAATTCTTGGCTTTAATATGACGGGAGTTATCCCCCTTTTTTATAAAAGGGTGGATTTGGTGGGCCCATTTAAAAAATATCTTTAATTTCAAAGCAATACCTCACACAAATTTGGGAAAGAATGGGGGGTAATAAAAAATTTTAACCAAAAGTGTTGCATGAAGGCGAAAACCCGGACGTTTAAATTTTGAAAAGGATAGCTGGTTAAATAACTAAAATTAAAGGGGAAAATTGATCAAAATTTTATCTTTTAGAATTTTTAAAAAGGGAAAACTATAAAAATTTTGAAAGGAAAGAAAAATTTTAAATACTTTAGAAATACATTTCCCCACGTGAAGTTTAATGATCTTTGAAAGATGTCACAAAAACCTCGTCTCCCAAAAATTTTTTCTTTGAAAATTTTAGGGGTAACTGAACCCTTTTTTTCCCTTTTTCGTGCCCTTTAATGGGGTCTACAAGTTTTTCTCCCCTTAAAAAAGTTCTTTACATATTTGTAAATTTTTTCCCCAGGGGTTTCCATGGCTTAGCATAGTCTTTTTTGGGCGCTGATTTCCCTTTGAAAAGGGTTTTCATTGCATTTTCCACATTCAAGTTTCTTCTTATTCCCCTGATGTGCTCTATGGTGGTCTTCAAGAGACGATCGCTTCAACATAGGACTTACCACATCATTTATAAGGCTGGTTATCTATGGAATAAAATATATATAAACAATTAAACAAAGTTGAAGAAGAAAATAAGTACATTTACATGTACACGCTTTTTAGGAAAGACAGTCACTCTGCTTGTATTTTCATTTTCAGCATAATAAGAAAAAGATTCTACAGTTTTTCTAAGTAAATATTACTGTTCTGTTTTATTATTTAAGAGAGTTTTCCTTTTTGGTTACAGTGTGATTTCACAAAGCCAATAAAATAGATTTACTGTATACTCTTTTGAAAGTTTTTTTTTCCAGACTGTGGTAAGTAATTAACATATTTCATAAAGTAAGAGATAATCCGATTTTTAAATAGAAAAATAAAAAAAAGTTGTAAAATAAAATAAAACCTAAGTAAACAGTTTTAGTACTCGGTGTTTACGTAAAACCACTTTCGTTCCTGTATTTTGTTCCACAGTCGCAACACAGAAACTCTTCAATAAATGAGCTGTCCAGTGCTTGGAAGCTGTAAAATATAATAATTAGAAATAAATTATGTGAAGCGGCATGCAACTTCAAATTTCTTGGTTTCATTTAGCAATATATTTTTATGTCTGAACCGTATACTTTTTGAAAAAGATGTATGCACCGTTGCCTAATTTGTGGCAGCACCGTTTCATTTTTTTACGGAAATTTCGAACCGTTGCTAGGTGTTCTGCACCGGTGTGCAGGCGAAACAGAAAGTAGACAGATTCAGGCACAACAAACTGATTTAATTAATTTTTAATTCCAGAAATGATTTTATACATGTACGCTAATAATCAAGCATGTTTCCTTTAAGATTGATGCCTCTGATATGGAGGTTTGCTAAAAAATTTACCAGGCCTCTCGGTTCGAATTTCACGTGTGTGTTTTTCGCCAAAGTTTTCAGTAAATAATTCATATAAATCCTATATTACATACATGGTGAACAGGTTGGTCTTATAGGGAATTTATTTTTACATTATATGCAACTATTCTTTTATCCAGTGAGTAACGTATATCTCCAAATACATCGGTTACAAAATGACACGTACCTTCTTGTTGTTTCTCGGTCCGACATCTTAGATGGAAGCACCGTAACACGGAAAATCCGCACCGTTTCACGTACCCGACAGTGTACATATATACATAAAGATATACATCTTGAAAATATAAGCAACGGTTCCTCGTATTGCAGGATTTATTCGTTTAACAACAAAATGATATTGATTTCTTCCTGATATTTTTATGACAATTACATAACGTTTTTGTAAATATCCGGAAAAAGGTGATCCATCGAAAGCATTAAAATCACCAAATTCTATGAATATTGAAGACTCGGTTTGATTGAGTCTGTACATGAGGGACAATGAAGAAGTACAACATTGCTCATATCCTCTAGCACCGGCTTGAGCAATACTCAATTTTCAACTCTTAAAAGAGCTGAACTCAATGATCCAGCAGCACAACAATATTTTAAGTAAATCAAATATATGAAAATTTAGTTAAAGATGTACATTGTTTTGCATTCATGCACGAAACACTCAATCAAACCGAGCCTGCAACATTTTCAAATTTGCCATTTTGGATTTTCTTTAAGGCTTCTTATTTATTATGCAACCTCACTTTGTTTTTTATCATTTGTTTACATTTTAGTGTTCTCTATTGTTGTATTATATTTTTAAGCGATGTTGTTATTGTAATTTACAAAATTGTCCCATTATAAATCTTCTTAATAATCAATCACGAAGGATTCAATGATAATTGTTTTTTAAACTATAACGATTTGACATCACTGGCACCAAACTTATCATCAAGTTTCTTTTTCTTTACACATTTGTAGGGAAAAGTGTTCTTTTCTGTCACGCTGTTGAGTAAAAAAATGACGAGAAACCCCACTTTCATATACACACAACCCTTAGAGAATTAGACATGTTAGTATTTTTATAGCTAAAGATGTTATTAGAAATATATTGGATCTTTTCGTGATCTTTAGTATTTCTAATATGATAATACGGCATGTCTGCACCATGCCCTGTTTTTGTTTGGGGTCTTCCTGGGCTCCTTGCCACTAATTCTTGTAATATCGTGTAAGGTTTGCGTATTTTGAACGCCGCCTTTCATTGTTGATCTTGTTTCTGATATATTTTAAATGTCTTAATAAGAAAGAAAATCGAAGAGATTTTGTATCTTTACAGTATAACATTTCTAGCATTAAAATGTACAATTATATTTTATCCTGTTTTGCTTAACTGACAAAGTCAACCGCTTTCATCAATAAAGTACACAGTGAAGGAACATGTATATTTCAGATAACGGACTCATAAATCAGGGATGAATCCTGTGCAAATTTTCTCTTATTATGATTAAATTTTGCTGTTAATGTTGAAGGCATTTTCATTAATCTTTATTTCAATTAAAAGTTTGTTTTATAAACCAACCTGAATCTCATATTCATTTTAAACAATAATTATAATCATTACTAATGGCCTCTAACTACAACTAAATGACATTTTTATCATGCTAAGATATCTCATTTCGTCTGATCCTCTTTCAAACTCCAGTCCGTTCTTCCCTGTTAATGGTGCTACGTTTTTCTTTTATCTAGTTCATCAGTATATAATCCACTGTCACGCAAACAACATTATCGTTGCCGAATGAAAACATAAGATTTTGCTGGGGATAGCAGCATATACTGTTGCTGCATTTTTTTGCTGTCATCCTTAAGAAAGACAAAACAGACAGAAATTGCAGTAATTTCAATATGTAATACTATCAGGCTCCTAATTTTTCTATCGGTTTCCTGTTCCTAAAAAATACATTTTTCAGTTTCTTACAAAGTAGAACATTGATAACCATGCAAAAGGCA